GACACACGGAGACACACGGAGACACACGGAGACACACTGAGACACACGGAGACACACGGAGACACACGGAGACACACGGAGACACACGGAGACACACGGAGACACACGGAGACACACGGAGACACACGGAGACCCACGGAGACACACGGAGACACACGGAGACACACGGAGACACACGGAGACACACGGAGACACACGGAGACACACGGAGACACACGGAGACACACGGAGACACACGGAGACACACGGAGACACACGGAGACACACGGAGACACACGGAGACACACGGTGACACACGGAGACACACGGAGACACACGGAGACACACGGAGACACACGGAGACACACGGAGACACACGGAGACACACGGAGACACACGGAGACACACTGAGACACACGGAGACACACGGAGACACACGGAGACACACGGAGACACACGGAGACACACGGAGACACACGGAGACACACGGAGACACACGGAGACACACGGAGACACACGGAGACACACGGAGACACACAGAGACACACAGAGACACACAGAGACACACAGAGACACACAGAGACACACAGAGACACACAGAGACACACAGAGACACACAGAGACACACAGAGACACACGGAGACACACGGAGACACACGGAGACACACGGAGACACACGGAGACACACGGAGACACACTGAGACACACGGAGACACACGGAGACACACGGAGACACACGGAGACACACGGAGACACACGGAGACACACGGAGACACACGGAGACACACGGAGACACACGGAGACACACGGAGACACACTGAGACACACGGAGACACACGGAGACACACGGAGACACACGGAGACACACGGAGACACACGGAGACACACGGAGACACACGGAGACACACGGAGACACACGGAGACACACAGAGACACACAGAGACACACAGAGACACACAGAGACACACAGAGACACACAGAGACACACAGAGACACACAGAGACACACAGAGACACACAGAGACACACAGAGACACACAGAGACACACAGAGACACACATAGACACACAGAGACACACATAGACACACAGAGACACACAGAGACACACAGAGACACACAGAGACACACAGAGACACACAGAGACACACAGAGACACACAAAGACACACAGAGACACACAGAGACACACACAGACACACAGAGACACACAGAGACACACACAGACACACACAGACACACACAGACACACACAGACACACACAGACACACACGGACACACACACACAGACACAAAGAGACACACACACAAACAGACAAACAGAAACACACAGACACACAGACACACAGACACACAGACACACAGACACACAGACACACAGACACACAGACACACAGACACACAGACACACAGACACACAGACACACAGACACACAGACACACAGACACACAGACACACAGACACACACACACACAGACCCACAGACACACAGACACACAGACACACAGACACACAGACACACAGACACACAGACACACAGACACACAGACACACAGACACACAGACACACAGACACACAGACACACAGACACACAGACACACAGACACACAGATTTGGCAATGGACTGTCATAGGAAACCTGTTGAAAAGGGACACACAGACACACAGACACACAGACACACAGACACACAGACACACAGACACACAGACACACAGACACACAGACATACAGACACACAGACACACAGACACACAGACACACAGACACACAGACACACAGACACACAGACACACAGACACACAGACACACAGACACACAGACACACAGACACACAGACACACAGACACACAGACACACAGACACACAGACACACAGACACTCAGACACACAGACACACAGACACACAGACACACAGACAGACACACAGACAGACACACAGACACACACACACAGACAGACACACAGACAGACAGACACACAGACACACAGACACACACACAGACACACACACAGACACACACACAGACACACACACAGACACACACAGACACACACAGACACACACAGACACACACAGACACACACAGACACCACAGACACACACAGACACACACAGACACACACAGACACACACAGACACACACAGACACACACAGACACACACAGACACACACAGACACACACAGAGACACACAGACACACACAGACACACACAGACACACACAGACACACACAGACACACACAGACACACACACAGACACACACACAGACACACAACAGACACACACAAACACACACAGACACACACAGACACACACACAGACACACACACACAGACACACACACAGACACACACACACACAGACACACACACAGACACACACACAGACACACACACAGACACACAGACACACACACACACAGACACACACACAGACACACACACAGACACACACACAGACACACACACAGACACACACACAGACACACACACAGACACACACACAGACACACACACAGA